AATAATAATAAATAACGATAATAATAATATTAATACCGATGATAATAATAATAATAATAATAATAAATAACGATTAAGATGATAATAAATAACGATAATAATAATATTAATACCGATGATAATAATAATAATAATAATAATAATAATAATAATAATAATAATGATGATAATAATAAATAACGATTATGATAATAATAATAATAATAAATAACGATTATGATGATAATAATAATAATAATAAATAACGATAATAATAATATTAATACCGATGATGATAATAATAATAATAATAATAATAATAATAATAATAATAATAATAATAAATAACGATTATGATGATAATAATGATAATAATAAATAACGATTATGATGATAATAATAATAATAATAAATAACGATAATAATAATAATAATAATAATAATAATAATAATAATAATAATAATAAATAACGATAATAATAATATTAATACCGATGATGATGATGATAATAATAATAATAATAATGGATATGGGACTGAGTGTAGGTGTTGGTGTGAGTGTACATTAAGGTAAGGTAAGGTAAGGTAAGGTAAGGTAAGGTAAGGTAAGGTAAGGTAAGGTAGCCACCGCTTTCATGACAGGCAAGGTGGCGCGAACACAAACACATCATGGTTTATGGTAAATCTCTTGTTGGCAACACTGGCGGATGTTTATAGCAGGTTAGTAATACCAAAATTGAACCACACCCACACCTTCGCCTACACCCACACCCTCGCCTACACCCACACCCACGCCTTAACCTACGTCACACCTAATCTTAGACCCACACCTACACCCACGCCTAATCCTAATCCTACACCCACACCCAATCCTACACCCACGGCTAAACTTACACCCACGCCTAAACTTACACCCCCGCCTACACCCACACCTACCCCCATACCCACGCCTACACCCACACCCACGTTTACACCCACACCCCCGCCTCAGCCTACATCCATGCTCACCACGCCTACACCCACATACACGCCTCACCCACACCCCCGCCTCAGCCTACATCCATGCTCACCACGCCTACACCCACCCCCTCGCCTACACCCACATACACGCCTCACCCACAACCACGCCTACACCCACACGTACACCTAACCCTGACCAAACTTATCCTAACATAACCTAATCTAACTTAATCAAACCAATCCTAATCAACCGCTAACCTAATCTAACCCAGTCTACCATATCCCAACATAATCTAACTGGGTGCAACTTAAAATAACCTAACCTAAGTAAACCAAACCTATTTTAACTTAATCTAAACAAATCTAACTTAACGTAACCCAGCTTAACCTAAACTGACCCAACATAACTTAATGTAGCTTAACTTAACCTAATCTAATTCGTTTATCAATATATTTCTGCATTCCGACAGAGAGAGAGAGAGAGAGAGAGAGAGAGAGAGAGAGAGAGAGCTATCAACCTACTCTCATCATCTTATAAGAATGACTGTTTGTATCATGCAGCGGTGGCGACGCATGCTTGGGGTGAAAGTGGGCACTGCGCTTCGCTTACCACACTCATACACTACAATGGTGAATTTTTTTTTTAAGATATGAAACTTTAAATAAACCAGCCTTTGTTGTGGTGTTCACTACATACATACATACATACATACATACATACATACATACATACACACACACACTTGTACACGCTTTCTAAGTCATGCTCCGATACCTACAGCCTACTGCTGTCACACTAACGCTGCTGCTGACTCACACTTATCACACTAACCAACTCATGCTAATAGTCATTGTCACACAAACTCACACTGTCACACTAGCTCACACTTGCACACTAACTCACTGTCACACTAATTCACACTGTCACACTAACTCACTCTGTCACACTAACTCACACTCACACTAACTCACACTGTCACACTAACTCAATCTGTCACACTAACTCACACTGTTCCACTAACTCACACTGTGCCACTAACTCACTGTCACACTAGCTCACACTTGCACACTAACTCACTGTCACACAAACTCACACTGTCACACTAGCTCACACTTGCACACTAACTCACACTGTCAAACTAACTCAATCTGTCACACTAACTCACACTGTTCCACTAACTCACACTGTGCCACTAACTCACACTAACTCACTGTCACACAAACTCACACTGTCACACTAGCTCACACTTGCACACTAACTCACACTGTCAAACTAACTCAATCTGTCACACTAACTCACACTGTTCCACTAACTCACACTGTGCCACTAACTCACTGTCACACTAATTCACACTGTCACACTAACTCACTCTGTCACACTAACTCACACTGTTCCACTCACTCACACTGTGCCACTAACTCACACTAACTCACTGTCACACAAACTCACACTGTCACACTAGCTCACACTGTCACACTA